TTTATTTTCTTGTTACCTATATTTTTCCTCCCCAAAACATTTACCTGTGTATGTTAAAGAAAAATGAAATAAAAATTCAATTGGGCACAGTGTTTAAAGCAAGCAGTACAAGTTTACCCTTACAAATGAGGTATTTTCTTTTAACTAATTGTCAGCTATTTTCGCAGTAACATTCTCGTGCCAAGAGAATAACAGGATATTCCTTTTGCCACTGGCATGCCTGTGTTTTAAATCCAGCTTGCAGTTCCCCAGCCAGCGGGCGTTTCTGAGTCAGTACTGTGCTCGGCACACTTGGGAGCGAAAGCCCCCAGCAAGCCCCTTTGCCCTGTTTCTGCCACTCTGCTTTTCTGCGTCTAACAGAGATGTGAACAATAAAACTTTTAAAGGGATCTTCAAAAGTCTTTAAACAGGAGACTAAGGTAAATTAGTGTTTCCTTTTATGAATTCTGCAGAATTAATGATCAACTAATCATTAAACATTTGTTATAGCTTGACTCACAATAAACATTTACTATAGGAGCCACATTGCCTAGGTTTTAATCCTGGTTCCACGGCATACTAGTTCTGTGCCTTTTTTGTGCCACATTTATTTGTCCTGAAAATGGGGATAATAATGGTACCCACCTCCTAGGGTTGTTTTGAAGGTAAATGAGTTGAGGTCTCTTAAGCCCTTTGAACAGAGCTTGGCACATAGTAACTGGTGCTGCGTATTAGCTATTACTGTTGCTGTTATTGTTGTTAAATGAGTCCGTGTCCAAGCTGAGTTTGTACATTCAAGTAGCTTTTCATGTATTTGGAACATAATCGTCACCCTTGTGGAACTACTAGAGAATAAGTAACATGCTTATCATGTTATCAGTTGACCGTATTTATCAGATATCCGTGTTATCAGTTCAGAGAAAGGGGCGATTATGAACTGCAAAATTTTCTATCTTAAATGGCCATGTATTAAAGGTACATGTCTTTAGTTTCATAAGTGAGAGCAATATGATTCTTTTAAAACAAGAATGATGGTGAATGTTCCGTTCAGTAAAGGAGCTGTTTGGATTCTTGTGATGGCAGCCGCAGCTGCAGGTCTGCTCACCCACAGTGGGGAGGGCTGGCACCCAGGAATACAGGAGCTTAGATTCACAGAGCTTCAGTTTTTGGCCCTGGGAAGAAGGCTTAACCTGAGTGGAGTAGCTGGGCTTGTCTCCTGTGTTAGCTGGCTCAGCCACACCATCTGAAAGCATTGCTCATCGTTTGAGGGCCCCTCCTTAGTTTTGTGATAGACAGGTGCTGGTACTGCTAGTCAGACTAGAAGATAGCTCATTTGTTAACTTCAGTTTAGAAAGGGTAAAAAGGTATCTTTCAGGGAGTGATCATGATGCCAACGAAAGATTCTGAAGATTTTTAGAACTCATGCAAGCTTGGCATTTTTGTTTAAGTCAGTGTACTTTGCCTTTCTGTCAGCCTGGTGTGCTGTCTTGCCTCCAGAAAATAAATGGCTTTTGCCTTAAGGTGTGGACCTTGGGTGCCTGTTGTTCGCTTTCACCCCCTGGGTTTTTAAAACCCTTAGATTAGTGGTTCTCAGCTTTGACTGCACATTAACACCACCTGGGGAGCTTTTAATGAAATAGAAGTCCCTGGGCCTGAGCCCGGACCAATTAATCAAAATCCCTGGGGATGAGTAAGGCCTGGACACTGGTGTGTTTTAAAAGCCCCCTGGGTGATTCTAATGTGAAGCCCGGGTTTAGTACCCTTGATTTAACTTATAATAATGAGATCTCTTCTATCAATAGGGGACTGCGTGTTTGTTTGGGCATTGCCTGCCATGGTCTATCAGTATATTCTTTGTCATATCAGTGTACTCTTTGTCATTTATCTGGTTCCTCATTTCCTTGGATTTAGAGGACTGATGGTGAGTCCCTTAACTAAGCCTATAAAGTTCCTGCTCTTTTAGTCTTATGAGAAAATTTTCATCAGTACCACAATAAAATAACCTTGTATTTATCCTTCCTGTTCTCCATTCTGCACATCATCAGAGGAACGGTTTTTCCTCAAGAAAGAAATTGGTTAGTTCTACGTCCTGAAAGCTTGGGTGGATGATACAGCCAGGATAGACAAGTTGCCATGAGTTGTTTAATGGGGGAGGGAGTCAGGGAGGTGAGAACAGGTTTTTACTGAGCATCCTCTCAGTGCTAGGTACTGGCAGAATGATTTCACTTAATTCTCCCAGCAGCTCTGTGAAACAGACAGTCACCTGTGCGTTAAAACGTTAAATAACTTCACCAGGGTTTTGTGGTTTGTGTGCCCAGAGCTGAAGCACAACCCAGTTCTGTTCCTGTGCTGTCTCCATCATCAACCACAGCTACTCCTGATCTTGTGTATTTGGTTTCTACAAAGCCATGAAAATTTATTCCTATCACAATTTTGTTATCATGAAAGGTAATTAAAAGATAGTAAAATAAGCTTCTTTGTTTTACTTTTAGAAATGGTACCATATAAATGTATAAAACATGTTTTATCTTCACTAGTCTCTGGAAACAAGGTTTAATAGCCTTAAAGTTGGCAACAAGGTACAAATTCCTTTTCCACACTCTAGTATTAGGGCATTGAATTGTAAATTTCAGACCTAGACTCTTGGGGCTTAGAGATTTCAACGGCTGGAGGGCAAAAGTATTTTCTTACGTAGCTAGTTTAAGAAGCACAGGCTATGTCTGTCTGCATTTTTTTTTTCTTTTTGTCTTTTCCCTTTTCTTTTTTCTTTCAGTTTTTAGAAACATTGTGTTCTGGGATTAAATAGTGAGTAGTAAAGTGCAAAGTATTATATGAGCATCTTTGGGCCTGAAAATTATTCAGTTTCTATATTCATTTCAAGTGTGTCTTTGAAGTCTGCTGTGCAGCCCTTTAATCTTAATTCATCACCAAGGGGGTTTGGAGACCAGAAGGAAAGATCATGAAAGGTGTAGAGAAATGAAACATAATGGCTTTCATCTTTACAGCTTTTCTTATTTATTTCCTAATCTGGTATATTTTGTGCCTACCTTTTTATCGCTTTTCTTTCAAATAATTGGTAATACAGGATAACCTTTCTTTAGGAGAGAACACAACTGAAGAGAAATTTCGTTCTTTTACAACAATAAAACATACATTTAAATAACAGATTTGGTTATACAAGTTAACACCTTAAGAGGAAAAGCCCAGAGATAGGCATTTGTGTGAACTGACCTCTCTAGGCTCTTCAGAAGTCTTCAGATGAGTGGTCGTCCTCAGAAGAGAAGGTCTGTTTATATCCAGAACAATGAATGGTTTCGTTGGAAGGAATTACTGTGCAAGTAAGTCTGCAGAGTTAAATGATCCAGGAGAGTTGCTGCGTAAAACTTTGCTGGATGAGTGTAAAGCACAGTTATTTTCTGTTTACTTAATACAGAAAGTTTAAATATATACCTGCTTTTGTATAATTTCATAAAACATTTACTAAGTGCCTGTGGTGTGCAAGATACTTTATTAGCTGCTGTGCCGAATATAAAGTTAAATATGCAATCAAGTGGGACAGGTAAATAATTTATTATAATACAAGGTACGGTGACAAAAATGAAGCTTAATACACTGTGTTCTGTAGGTGAGCAGAGGAAGGAGTGATTAATTATTGGTGTAATTATTACAGCCCATGGATTAAAGTGTAAAACACTTCTGATAAGATTTCTTCTAATACTGTAGGCCGAGTGATTCATTTAGTCCGTCATTCATAAACACTTTGTTTACTTTCTAAATCTTAATTTTTCTGTTTCTTTGTGTAGTTTTAGCTACTGTTTAGAGTAGGAGGTATTCTTAACACTCACATGACAAATTGTATTTTTAAATTTTTTTTACTCTTTTCAGAATTAAAATGGAATTGCCTGAAAAATAATAGGCGTATTTCATGGTATGTCTCTGATGCCTTCAAGGCTGCTATACTTTAGGTTTAACATAGCTTAAAAGTTAGAAAAGCTTTGAAAAGTGTATTGAGTCCGGTGGCTTCTGGTCAATTTATGAATCCCAGTGAGTATGGGTTGTCCTATGATTGGAATTGGCCTTCAAGCTCTGCCACCGTGAATCAACCATGGGACATACCCAGGGACCTGAATCAACAGAAAACATCCAGGTGTCCTTGATTCAGAGAAGTTTCCATTTGAAAGAAACCTTAAAATTTATCTGATCTAACCTCTTGGTTCAAAAAGATCGAGGCCTAAAGATGTTAGGAGATCAGTCCAGTGGTCAGAATAATTTGGAGAGATCCTTGATATTACTATACTTATGTTGCTGTTTTTGTTATTTCTTTGATGGATTTAAAATAATATGCTTATTTACTGTTTGGAATTTTGCCAGCCATTAAGAATAGACATTTAAAGAAGACGACAAATAACTTAAAAACAATATGGCAGCTTTTTCGTATTTCTATTACTTTAATAACGATTATTTGCTTCCAGCTCCACCTTTTTTCTGCCAAGGGCTTCTACTTCTCAGTTAATGAGGGTGAACGTGATGCTCGATGGCAAAATGAAATCATGACTAATCACTCACAGAGCATAAATAGCTGTAAAGAAGTCAATTTGGGCATTTATTTTAATGAAAAGTGTATCTTTTAAACAGATATTGGAGAGTTTTGTTTTAGCCTCATTTTGTATTGTAAAATACAGAATTATGTTACATAGATAGGGATGGTGATTTGGTGTTTTGCATGATGTATTTGGTTCAGGATACATATACATAATTATTGTGACTTTTGCCCATTCTTTTTCATTGTAATTTATGTGTGAGAGAGAGAGAAGAATCAAATTTTTCTCACTTTTCAGTTTTTCACTACAGCCTAAAAATATCCTTTTTTTCTGGTGACACATACACATATAATAACAAGAAAATCATTCTGATTAATTTAACGTTGATATTATTCCCAGTGTGCTGAACACAAACCTTTCATTCATACTCAGTGCTAATAAGACCAAATTTTACAATAATATGTGGATTTCTTATTGCAGGTACATGTTGGGACTTGCAGCAATTCCAGCAGTTATACAGTTTTTCGGCTTTCTCTTTTTACCTGAAAGCCCTCGATGGCTTATTCAGAAAGGACAGACTCAGAAGGCCCGTAGAATCTTATCTCAGATGCGTGGTAACCAGACCATTGATGAGGAGTATGATAGCATCAAAAACAACATTGAAGAAGAGGAAAAAGAGGTTGGCTCAGGTATGTGGATTTTGTACTTATGTGAATTTTTAAACTACATAGTGGTTTTATCTAGGAATTATATTTTAGCATTATTTAATATCTCTAAATCATGTAGTGGTTTTATATGTATAACCAAACCAAAATAAATATATTTTAGTTTTAAAAGCAATGATAATGTTATAAAAGAATGAAGAAAAACAGCCCCATGACTCCTATCCTCACATAATTAATAATTTTGTTTTTGTTTAGTCTTTTCTTCTTTCCAAATTGGATATACTTGACATAGTTGTCATCATTTTGTTTGTGTGGGTATTTTTTTTGAGTATATGTATGTTTTATGTATAAATATATCACATATAAAGATATATATGCACTATTGACCTTCCATATTAACTAAAATCATAATGTGAACTATTGTCAAGACAAATCACTTTAGTAAAATTAAATACCTGCTTACATATGTTACATTAAGTTCCATAATAATTTTTATAAAGAGTAAGAATGCCTTCACATTACTAGTTTTGGGATAATTTTGTGGTTCCCTATTTTCATTAAAACGTTTAATTAACTGTCTAATAAAAATTTTGCCATGTCAGAAAACCAAAAAAAAGGGAAGTTTCTGGTTAGTTTATGTTGATAAATTCATTTTCGGAGAAGAAATCATGTAGGGATTTACAAATTTTTAAGCAGGATCTATAATCTTGATAGTCTGATTTGGGTAAGCAATTTGCAGGATACAACTAATGAGAAAAGGTAGACATTTTATAATACTTCATTTCAGCAATAACTGCTCCCCTTCTGGATTCACGTTTCTCAAAGTTGTCTCATTTTCTCTCAGCCTTCCTTTTGCTTCTACGTTAATTGATAGCTCAAATGGAGATGCTGACTTACATTAGTCTATTTTTCATACCTGAGAAAATGCCAAACACATATACCCTTCTACTAATATATTCATACACAAGTCTTAAAAGGTCTGTGCACTCGCCCTTTCCTACCATTTTTGGTGGAGCTGAAGGTTGTGCTTTCCTGAAACAGTAGAATAAACACTGTGGAAGCTGGTCACTGTTTTAGCCACATGTGGCTTGACTTCACTTTATATATATGCAGCACGGTAGTGCGATGTTATCTTCTTGCTTAGACCAAAGCCCTACTAACCGTGAGCCCGTTTTGGGTCAAGGTCATTTTTAACAAACGATTTTTGACCATATACCATGTTCTTGGTATTGTCAGCATTTCCAGAGTAGCACATTAACACAACTATTAAAGAGAATTTTGCTATAACAAAATAATGCACTTTTACTAAGTTCAGCATTGTGTTAATTTTTAACATGCTATTTTAAATGTCTGTTTAAATGACAACTTCTTTTACGCTCTTGTCTAAATTCCTCTCAGCGGTAGCTTGAATGAAGTATGAGGTTGTTTTTGTGGTAATCAGTACACTTGAAACCCATGTGCTAATAATGTGTGAGTAGAAAAACTTTTCAGAGGATGTATTAGGTTATATTAAATGCTATTTAGAAATAAGTTTTTGTTAATTTATATAAAGGATAAGATAACTTAATAAAAAAGCCTTCTTGTTTAGAGGTGGGGATACCACTGATTTTGCTACAAAGTATTGAGCACATAGCTTCATTTTGACTACCTTAAAAAAATTTATGTGAGTGGTCTAGCCATGCACTTGTCGACGATGCACACTGTTTGAGTTTTGTGACTATTTGGAATGTATAACCAAATTTATTATTTTTTTTAGAAACTTGTGCATAGGATTGCAATTACCTGCATCTGCCTTAGTTTTAATCATAAGTCTTCTCAACTAAATAGGGCACTATTTCTTGGGGATAGATAAAATATTTAGTGATTTACCTATTTCCTAATATTGGTTCATGTATACATTTGGCACAGTTTTTAAAGATACTATAATGTTATCCACTGAATCCTAATAAGATTTGTCTCATGTTTGGCTAAATATTCTAAATTTTGTAACTAATGGGATTAAAAATTTATCCATTTCTGGATTTGTATTATTTGAGTACTATCATCTTGCTTAATTTTAAAACTAATTTCATGTTCTTTTTTAAAAATACAGAATTAATAGCATTATGGTATGAATGCACACAGACAGTTTTGCCAGTGTTATATGGCACCAGTAATTTGGGGCCTCATTTTTATGATTGAGAAATCTAATCACAGTAAAACATGCTCTGCAAAGTATGACTTTTATTTCAGCATTGTCATGTCCAGGGGCAAGACTCTGTGTCAGTTTAGTTGGAAAATAGAGACCAGGGCTAGGGCTTGTGTTAGCAGACCTGAAGGGTCCTGGCCCTCAGTCACTTGACATTTGAAAATGCTAGGCTAGATGGACAAATACACATGAAGAAACAGCTAACTTCAAAATAATACAAATGTCCTGGCCCAGAGAAGACGAGCCAGCCATTGCATTGGAGGGTTAGAGAGTGACCTGGGTTAATTGGTCCGTGGATCTTGACAAAAGTGAATTTTGAGCCGTGACTTCAAGCCTGGGGACTCTGAACAGTGGGATCCAGCTGCCTGGCGGGAAGAACCTTGACCAGTCACCACAGGATACTCAGATATTCCAGGAGGTTAGAAAGAAGCTGTTCAATAAGATTGCCGTTTCTTTTAGGGAGAAATGTTTTCTCGTCAGACATGTTGGCTTAGTTACCTGCTACCTGTGAGCTTGCCAAATAGGTCTGATTCCTGATCAGCAGGCCACGTCCTTCTCTAGGAGTTTCTAGTGGATTTATGACTTGTTACTGTGATGGTACTTACTTATATGGCCTTTCTCTTTTTGTGGGATTTTTTTCCTTGGTCTCTTGAGTTTAAATTTGACCTCTTTGAGGAAAATAGGCATAACTACTAAAGTCTGTCTTAGTTAAGTTAGTTAATTTATTAGATGTGTGAGATGTCAGTGCCTAGGGCATTTACTTCTCCTGATTGAAAATACCTTTTATGACCTTATGTAGTGAATACGGTGGCTGCTCTGGCCACGTCAGCAGCAGAGGCGAGGCTCGCAGGCCGTGCTGTGGAACAGGATCGGATTGTAATGGGATTCCATCTCTTCTTCTGTACGTGGCACGCAGGTCAGCCTCCTTAGCATGTGGAGTGCTAAAAAAAAAAAAAAGAAGGCGGTTTATGGGTTTTAAAAGAAGTGAACAGTTGGTTTTCATGTGTGTTCAACACTGTTTATACATCCTGTAGGACTAATAAAGTGAGAGTAGAAGAAACAACAGCTTGGTTTGGAAAGCTCCCTGGAGTGGGAGACAGAAATGAAAGACTGGTCCTAGCTCCACCCCTGACTCGTGAATCTAAAAGAATTTGGGAGGAGTCCCTGAGCCTCTGTTTCTTTTTAGCTTTATAGGAAAAGAGAGCCAGATTATAACAGCTTCCTAGTTTGAGTTTTTAGAGTTTTGAAAGTCTGTGAGAAACGCCTGTTTTTTAATTTCTAAATACTATGCAGCAGTATTTTCATTCAAAAATATTTGTTGAGTGGCATTCAGTAGAGTTGGGAATGTGGCAATAAATAAGACAGACAAGGTTCTGGCTTGTTCTCTTGGGAGGAGGCACATGAATGATAAATAAAAGAGTAAATAATTCCAGGGTAACTGCAAATTGTGGTAATCACTTTGAAGGAAATGAATAGGATGATAACATATTTGTAGAGGGGCTACTTTAGGTGGGATGGTTAGGAAAGGCTTCTCTGAAGAGCTGAATTGGAGGGGTGAGAAAGAATCGGCAGTGTAGAGAACTGAAGGGAAGAGTGTTCCAGGCAGAGGGAATAGCAAGTGCAAAATTATATATAGTGGGCCAGATTAATCTCTTGAAAGATTTGATATTAGCTGTAAAGCATGCCTGTACCAGAATTTTAAGACATTGCAGTAAGAGCTAACTATTCATCTTTACTCATCCCAGGTTGCCAAGCCTAAGCTTGGAATTAGTAGGGACACAATTACTACTTTCAGAATTAAGAGCAAATCTGAGTACAAAATAATATATGTATAATTCCCATCATTTTGTTGTTTGTCTCTTATGGTTTGTCTTCCTAGTTTGTTTCGTGCTGCATAGATGTGTAATAGAGTCATGACTTGTATGTAGACAGAGGTAGAAACCTTAGAGAGATCTATGTAATTATTTAAGGCAATTATTTGGAAGTTTTGCCACTTAGCTTCAAAGGTGGGTGGAGAGAGGCAGGCCTTTTGGGGCCTCGGTACCATAGCGAAAGTCATCTGCAGTAAGCTCAACATTTATTTAAAATTTTTTTTTTTTGGTGAGGAAGATCAGCCCTGAGCTAACATCTGCTGCCAATCCTCCTCTTTTTGCTGAGGAAGTTGGCCCTGAGCTAAGATCCATGCCCATCTTCCTCCATGTTATATGTGGGACACCTACCACAGCATGGCTTGTCAAGTGGTACTTAGGTCTGCGCCTGGGATCTGAACTGGTGAACCCCGGGCCGCCAAAGCAGAGCACACGAACTTAACCGCTATGCCACCAGACTGGCTCCAACATTTATTTGAATTTTTAAGCTTTATCCTAAAAATTAACGAAAGTTTGTATTCTGTCCCATGATATAACTGTTTACTTGACTCAAAAAATGTTTTTTTCCTAAATATCTACAGTATTTACTCATTGACTTTATGTGGCCATCATTGTCATGTCTATTCCCTGAGGGATGTGCGTCCTTCAGTTTGATAGACACCAATTTAAAGCATTTGGAGTTACTCTCTTGGGCAAATCCATTAGGCAAGGTATTAAAAGTTGGGTCTGCCTATATTACTAGAGATGTGTGGTCATCTCTTAACTTACTAGGCATATAGAAAGGCAGAGAGTCTTCATCAGGAACTTTAGTTCATAGCAGCTAGTAATTGTCTCCCACAACAAGAAAAGTAAAATCAGTCAACAAAAGAGACAGGATTCCTTTGAAGACAATCTTAGGGAAGAATCTAGAAATGAAGGTTGTGTATTCACATGCTTTATACCACTTTGTTTACAAGCACTCTCTAATT